CCTCGTACCTCAACCTCATCGACCTCTGCCTCTCCTCCAACTCCCCCGCCTCCGGCCGCCTCGTTCACCGCCACCTCATCTCCTACGCCCGCACCTCACCCGCTCTCTTCTTGTCCAACGCCCTCCTCTCGATGTACCTCAAATTCGACCTCTTCGAAGAAGCCCACAACATGTTCGGCCGAATGCCTCGCCGGAACGTCGTCTCCTTCACCGCCATGATTTCGTCATTAACCAATCGAAAACTACACATTGAAGCTCTTGCGCTGTTGATCTCAATGCAGAGGGAGGGAATTAAACCCAACATGTACACTTTCTCGTCGATACTTAAAGCTTGTGATGAGGTGAAGACGCTTTGGTCGATGCATTGTTGGATAGTTAAGTACGGGCTCGAGTCGGATGTGTTTGTTAGGGCCTCACTTGTTGATATTTATGCTAAGTACGGGGAGTTGGAAAGCGGGTATCGGGTTTTTAAGGAAATGGTAACTAGAGACCTTGTGGTTTGGAATTCGATCATAGGAGGGTTTGCGCAGAGTGGAGACGGGCGTAAAGCAATAGACCTGTTTATTGAGATGAAGAGGTTCGGTTTTCTTGCTAACCAAGGGACGTTGACGAGCGTTCTTAGAGCCTGTACCGGTATGGTGTTGTTGGAAATGGGAAAGCAAGTGCACGTCCATGTTTTGAAGCGCAAACAGGATTTGATATTGAACAATGCCCTTCTCGATATGTATTGTAAATGTGGGAGCTTGGAGGAGGTGGACTCGGTGTTTAAGAGAATGGTTGACAAAGATGTGATCTGTTGGAGCACAATGATTTCAGGATTAGCTCAAAATGGAAAGAGCTTGGAGGCATTGAGCCTTTTCGAATCGATGGAGGCTATTGGTCCTAAACCAAATCATATTACAATGGTGGGGGTTTTGTTTGCTTGTAGTCATGCTGGATTGGCTGATAAAGGGTGGTACTATTTTCGCTCAATGAAGAAGCTCTTTGGTATTGAGCCAACTAGAGAGCATTACGGGTGCATGGTTGATCTTCTCACAAGAGCAGGAAAGCTCCAAGAAGCTGTGGAATTTATAAAGGAGATGGATTTTGAGCCTGATACTGTTATATGGAGAACTCTACTTGGAGCTTGTAGAGTTCATAAAGAAGCAAATATTGCATCATATGCAGCTAAAGAGATACTCAAACGTGAACCAGGAGATGAAGGGACTTACATACTCCTATCTAATATATATGCTGATAGTCGCCAATGGAACGATGTTGAGGATTTGAGAAGATTGATGAGGGATCGGGGAGTGAGGAAAGAGCCTGGACGCAGCTGGATTGAGATCTGTAAGGAGATCCACGTATTTACTGTGGGTGATTTATCTCACCCTCAAGGAGATCTCATAGTAAGAGAATTGAACCGTTTGATAAGTAGAATAAAAGGAGTTGGTTATGTTCCTGATACGGAATTTGTACTTCATGATCTCGGGAGAGAGCAAAAGGAGGAATTGATTCGGTATCACAGCGAGAAGCTAGCAATTGCATTTGGGTTGATGAATTCAACTGAGGGGAAGCCGATCAGGGTCATGAAGAACCTAAGGATATGTGGAGATTGTCACACATTTGCGAAGCTTGTGGCAAAGACTGAAGGCAAGACAATTGTAATTAGGGATCCAGTTCGGTTTCACCATTTTAAGGATGGAACTTGCTCATGTGGAGATTATTGGTGAAGGGGGTGTTACAACAACAAGGAGAGATAAATAGAGGAAATCTTGTTTCCACCTAATGCTATCATAGGGATCATGAGGATATCTTTAGAGTCATTGAGCATTCAGGAGTAGTTCAGTCGAAAGCTCGCCTACTGGATCAGGATTTTGGGATGCCCTTTTTCTTGTGAAGACGTTGAAAATGCAGCCTTTGAGGATGGAGATGCATAAGTAAGTCCTACTTGATCTCAGTAAATTTATCCTTTTTCTTAATGACATTTTTTTGTTGTGAAGACATATCTTAAGTCCTCACTCTATTACAAAATCAAGGATAAATGCTTGATATGTGAACCATTTCTGTATGTTCACCATTGTTACTATCATATGGAAATCCATGATTTGTTTTATCGTAAAAGTTGCATTCCCAATGGTTTGTTATCAATGTATTATGTATCATGCAAAAAATGGTATTTCCTATTTACATAATGAGGCCAAGCATATTCAACTATATATCCATGTAACTCTCTTTTCCATGTGGGGAAAGTTTGCAGTCTCAATCCTTTGTTTATCACCTTGCTGTGTTCTTTCGAAACTAGTTAATAGATCAATTGAATTCTCTTTCCGATATGGGACTAAACCACATATCAATTAGGCCCAACCAGATTAGTCTGGTCTATCTGCGTCAGTGGGCCTTTAAAGCCCGATAATTTTCTTCGTTCATCATCCAGGGGTCTTGAATTCGATCAACATCAAGGATTTCAGTCTTTCAGATACTCTGATTGTATACTGATAAATGGTAACAGGGTTCTTCTACTTCCAACAAGTGTAAGAACTCTTCTAATACCGACGGTTTGTATTGCAGCTGACAACTGCAAGATCCGAGATTCTCTTGCACATATAAGGCTGTCTACTCAATATTCAAGAGAAGTTTGAGAAACCTGTGGCTGGCCAGGAGACGAGGTTGAAGATGGGGACGAGTCGGGTAGAGAAAAGATAAGAGGGCGCTCGAGCGCTGCATCAAACCAAGAATCACTATCATCGACGAAAAATATCGTTGCCTTAGATTCTCCAAAGCGAAGAAATAAATTCGGGGGCAAAAGTGGCTGCAGAACAATAAGATGGGTCTAATCTGTTTATGCGAGGGTTGAACGTGTATTAATTTGAATCCTCATCGATTTAATATGTGCAGTGAAATTGCACTGCTTGTACAGAAACTTGAAGGTTTTTGATTAAAGGTTTGTTTTTCAAGTGTTTGGATCTTGCAGGTTTGAGTGAGAACGTAACTTAGATGATATTGATTGTCTAGGAGCTTTATTTATAACTAACTGTTTTATATATACATGTATAGATAATAGACATACACATACATGCATATGATGCATATGTTTCTCATGTTTTTACTGGACCATTGTATGCTAATTTTGAGTTGGGAGTTTTTGCCTCAGGATCAAAACAGAAAAGAAACTAGATCGGCAACACAACAAGAGAGTCAGGTCGCAATAAGAATTCTTGTCTCACCAAGGAAACAAGAAGCGAATATCTCAACCAAGTGAGATATCGGCTCTTTCTCTCATCAGTTCTAGGACTGACCTGTCGAGAGATCCTAAAAGCTATTACAAATCACACAAATAGTGATACAACCAATTTTACGTGATTCGGCAAATTGCCTACGTCCACGGGGCAAGGAGGGGGGAGATCTACTAATAGAGGGAGAGATTACAACTAGGGTTTACAATTACTCACAAACTAAATCCTCAAACAAACTCTCAAATCCCTCACAAAATCTCTCTATATATATATATATATATATATGATTCTTATTCGGGTGGGCCTTCTTCATGGGCGTTCACGCGGCTTCGACTTCGTTCACGCGGAAACCACAAACCACACACATGGGTGGGTCCCATGTCCCCCATGTCACAATTCTCCACCTAGGTAAAGTTTTCTCAAAAACTGAGCCGACACCAAAGCAACCAAATGTCCCAACTTGTTGTCGGGAACCAAAATGAGAGTCCAAACAATCTCACCCCCATCAACATCAACTAATCCAAAACCGGCTGCATCATAAAGACTGCCTACGTATCCTCTTGTCCAAGGAATCAAGCCTCCCGTAGTTCATCCAAATGGCCGTCAACGGCCTCAACAATCACGAATATGCAACAAGTTTTGACAATGATCAAACTTGTTGCTCGGAACCACCTTAGTGAGCATATCCGCCTGATTATCTTTCGTGTGGACTTTCACAATCTCCACATCGCCATCTTTAAGAACATCCCGAACGAAGTGATAACGAACATCAATGTGCTTCGTCCGCGCATGAAAAACCTGATTCTTCGCCAAATAGATAGCACTCATGCTATCATAATGAATAGTGACAGACCTCTGCGATATACCAAGTTCCTCCAAAATTCCTCAAAGCCAAATAGCCTCCTTCACAGCCTCCGTAACTGTCATATACTCTGCCTCCGTCATAGACAAAGCCACCGTCGACTGTAAGGTGCATCTCCAACACACCGACGCACGGGTCAAAGTGAACACATACCCCGTCGTAGACCGACGCTTATCCAAATCCCCGGCATAATCCGAATCAACATAACCGATACATAGTTGCCTACCTGTAGTGTCCCGTTCATAAACCAAACCAACATTGAGCGTACCTCGAATGTACTTTAAAATCCATCTCACGGCGTCCCAATGGCCCACTCCTGGATCAAGCATGTATCTAGAAACTATGCTTACCGCCTGTGACAAATCTGGTCTCGTACTACCATTGCGTACATCAAGCTCCCAACCGTGCTCGCATATGGAGTCTTCGACATCAACTCTCGATCTTTAACTGACTTTGGTGAAAGACCAGCTGAAAGCTTCAAATGGGCTCCCAAAGGTACACCAACTGGCTTCGTATCCATGCTAACATGGAATCGCTGTAGAACCTTCTTCAAATAAGCCACTTGTGTCAGACAAATTCTGTCATTCCTATTGTCTCTGCCGACCTCTATCCCTAGAATGCGTTTCGCCTCGCCCAAGTCCTTCATCTCAAACTCATTTGAAAGCTGAACTTTCAACTCATCTATAGCCGACCTGGAAGTAGAAGCAACCAACATGTCATCGACATAAAATAACAAATAAATGTACGCACCTCCTCTCAACTTATGAAAATACATGCAAGGATCAAACTGGCTCCGAGTGTACGAATGACCAATCATAAAACCATCAAATCGCCTATACCACTGTCGAGGAGACTGTTTCAAACCGTATAGCGATTTCTTTAATCTGCAAACTAACTTATCTTTTCCTATAGCTCAGAATCTTAATGGCTGAGTCATATATATTTCTTCATCAAGATCACCATGAAGAAATGCCATCTTCACATCCAATTGATCTAACTCCAAACCATATTGTGCCACCAAAGCTAGCAAAATCCGAATCGAAGAGTGTTTCACCACCAGAGAGAAAACCTTATTATAGTCAATACCTTCCTCCTGTGCATAGCCCATCGCAACCAACCTAGCTTTGAACCTTAATGGAGTGCTCTCAATGCCCTCCTTCTTCGTGTATACCCACTTACAACCAATTGCTTTCCGCCCCTTTGGAAGCTCAACAAGCTCCCATGTATCGTTCTTATGAAGAGATTCCATCTCCTCCTGCATAGCCACCTGCCACGAATCAGTCTCCGAACTTTGCTCGGCCTCTCTGAATGTAGTAGGCACCAACTCATCGATACTCTTCACAGGAAGTGCATACGCAACTGTGTCGGCATACCGTGCTGGCATCTGTATGTTTCTCATATGTCTCCGAACCGCAATAGAATCCTGAACCTGAGCCGTCGGTCCTTGATCCTGCATATTAGTACACGTATCCTCCGTGTCACCGTCGTGCTCGTCTGGCGTCACCTCAGTCGGCACTCTAATGGATACTGTACCATCTGGACAATGTGGAGCTGCATCGATCTCCACCACCTGTGATATCTCCTCCGTCGGGTCGCTCTCCACCTGATGAGAGCTGGAAAGCTTCAAGATAGAAGCCTCATCAAACGTGACGTCCCTACTCAGCACAATCTTCTTATCAACCGAATCCCAAAGCTTGTATCCCTTGACACCACACTTGAATCCTACAAATATGGTCTTCCTAACTCGAGGTTCTAATTTATCAGTTCTAACATGATAAAATGCAGGACACCCGAAATACCTTGAGCTGATCATAGTCGTGTGCTAGCTCTCCTGACCACATCTCCATAGGGGTTTTCCCCTCAATCGCAGATGAAGGCAGCCTATTAATGAGGTGGCTCGTATATGTAAGTGCCTCAGCCCAAAAGATTTTCTCCAAACCACTCTGCGACAATAAGCATCGGATCTTCTCCAGTAAAGACCGATTCAACCTCTCTGCCACCCTATTTTGCTGTGGTGTATGACTAACTGTGAAGTATCTCTCTATGTCCTCGTCTCGACATAGCTGCTGAAGGGGGTCAGAAGTATACTCACCACCGTTGTCGGATCGCAACGTCTTGATCTTTCTCCTAGTCTGCAGTTCCAATCTCTTCTTCCACTCCACAAACAAATCTAGGACTTCACTCTTCTTCGTCATGGTGTACACCCAACAACGCCTAGAATAGTCATCTATAAAAGTGACGAACCAATGTCTATCACGAAGTGATGCAGTCTTGGTGGGACCCTAAACGTCTGTGTGCACATAGTCCAGGATACCCCTCGTCTGATGAATGGTAGTCTCGAACTTCACATTTGTCTTCTTGTCATGAACACAGTGCTGACAGAACTCAATCTTCCCACTCTTGGCTCCCTTCAATAGCCCCTGCTTGCATAATACCTATAGTAACTTTTCACCTATGTGCCCTAACCTATAGTGCCAAAGTCTGCTCATGTCCGCTTCTGAAATAGTCAAAGCAACCTGGCCAATCTCGATGCTTCCCTTCAGATAATACAAATTTCGATTGCGGACTCCCTTCATCACCATCAATGATCCCTTAGTAACCTTCGCTATAACGTTTTCGAAAGTCACATTGAATCCTTTCGCCTCCAAAGCTCCAACTGAGATAAGATTTTTCTTCAGTTGAAGAACAAATCTCACCTCCTTCAACTCACGGACTACTCCATCGTGCATTCTAATCCGCACGGTACCTATCCCACAAACGCCACAAGATTGATCATTTCTCATGACAACAACACCCCCGTCGACTTTCTCAAAAGATGCAAACCAGTTTCGCCTAGGGGTCACATGATAAGTAGCGCCGGAATCAAGCATCCAATCTGATGCATCCATATGGTTCACCTCCGGAGTAATCAGTAGAGAAAAGCACGAATCATCGGAATCATCGCCTTTCGCAACGTTCACCTCATTGGCCTTCGGGCCCTTTTTCTTGCCATTCTCCTTCTCCTTGAGCTTCGGGCAGTCTCTCTTCCAATGTCTCTGCTCCTTACAGAATGCATATTGGTTCTTTACTAATTGGTGGCGGCCTCTAGACTTTGACCTCCCTCTATTACCACCTTTCGGATATGGGCTTCTACCTCTCGTCGACAAGGCCTCTCTTGAAGTACTAGCGCGGAAAGTCTCCTTATCCTTCCTCCTCAAATCGTAGTTCGTCAAAGCGTTAGTCACTTCACTATAGCTGATAGAAGATCTCCCGTTTAACAAAGTGAGCACGAATGTATCATACTCCTCATCCGGTAAGGAGTCCAATAAAATAATTGTCTTGTACTCATCCGATATCTTCTCATCAACATTTACCAAGTCCGACAACAACTTAGTATAATTGTTCACATGAGCCGCTAGCGAGGTGCCTCTGGACATCTAAAATTTGAAGAGTCTTCGCAGCAAGTGCAACCTGTTCTCAACACTCTTTGTGAGATATTTGTTGTTGAGAATTTTCCACATCTTCATTACAGACGTCACCCCAATCACATTATATTTCAGTTCCTGTTCCAAACAGGACCTGATCACCCTACACGCGTTCCTATTCATCTTCTCACATATCACCTCTTCATATTTAGGTGGCCTCTCGTGGACCATGATGGTCTCTTCCAGATTCTGAGCATTGAGCGCATCCTGTACGTCATTCATCCACAAACCAAAGTTGATTTTGTCGTTATACTTCACCACACTAATCTTAGTGTTCTGAAAACCAACTTGTATTGTACTCGCCATCGATTTGCTGCTTTCACCTTCTTCTCCCATTGCGAACTAACTCCAAATTATAGAGAAAGAACAAATTTGATAGAAATTAGGAACCACCC